ACATGGACCTCTCTCCATTATATCCCTCTAAATCCCTGTGTAAAACACAGAACAGTCTCCTGACTTACAGATAAAATGCTGCCTCAGGTCTGTTTACCCCTTACTGAGTGCTACACTACCTTGGGGAGTTAGTCTAACTCAGTTACCCTTCCTTTGGACCTGGGATGGCACCTGGTGGCCTAGAAAAATAGCCCTCATCCATCTCCCTAATAGTGTATTATTCTGCAAAGAGAATACTTCCCTATCCCCAGCAACAAGGACCTTCTGCCCAGAGCTGCAGCTTTATCTGCTGAATTGGTGATTTACTATTTCTTCCATGAGCATCTCAGTGACAAGAGTCAGGCAGCCAATTTGGATCCCTTTGTGAGATTCAATTAAACCATAAAGTGATGTCAGTGTCCTTTAACAGCTGACTGTACACACAAGCAGGCAAGGAGGAGGGGGAGAAGGGGACAGACCCTGCAGTGCTAATAAACTGTAGCAGCAGGGGTGGCTTATGGCAGCCCGGCTGCAGCTGTTAAAGACATCTGTGCAGGTTTTGCTGGCTTTCCCTCTGGTGTGGGAATACCTGGCTCGAGATGTGCACAAAGAAGGTCACTGAGTAGGTGTTTATAACCCTAAAGAACCCCCGGGAGTTTTGAAGCAGTAGCAGTTCAAATCAGGTTATGTTTTTGCACTCAGACTTCGGCAGATAATCACGGTGCTGCTTTCATGCCTAGCATCCCCACCTGGCCCCTCTTCCCCTCCAACCTCAGCCCATGACCTCTCAGACCAAAAAGAGATAAAGGGCCCTCGGATTGGTTTTGTGCTTTCCCAATGTTCTCCTCTCCCTGAAGAGGCATTAATGGGTACTCGATGGCAGCAGGAACTGCTCAGAGGTTTTACTAATGAACAGCCTAAGAGCATCCAAGTCCCCACACTGATGGTGAAGCGGGACTGCGGGGTCCTCTTGGGGACATGTAGAGGGGAGCCAGGTTTCGATGTTATTTGTTTTTTTGAAACCACTCACACCTCCTCTGCTGAGTTCTCCAAGCTTCCCCTGCACTAGTGCCACTTGGCAGGGTCCTTTAATTTCTCCAGAGTCTATAACCCTCCTCCTGTGCCCACATCTACTGAGAGTGGAGGCTGTGCACCTGGACCCAAACATCTGGGCAGCTCTGGAGCCCTAACAGCCATTGCTTGGGAAAGCTGCTTCCAGCAGCAACCTCACCACTTGTTTTTCTAAAAACAAAGTAAGCAAAAGGGAGAAAGGATTGGGCACAAGGGGCTCCTATGCACAGCAGCAGGCCAGGCTTCCTACCCACACAGGGCTCCAGGTAACAAATAAAACTTGGGGCGCCAGGCAGAAGAACGACATATTTCACCCACCAGTCTCACATCCTCTGCCCCCTCTGCAGGTCCCAAGGTGAGGGGAAATAGGACTCATCTCCTCATGCACCAGCCTGCAGGCACAGGCTAATTGCCAGCCAGGCTCTCACACAGCCCCTTGGCAGGATCTGGGCACTGCCTTTCATTTTGCTCCCGCCAAATCCACAGGAATAGCAATTTCCTGACCTGGTCAAACTGACCAAGAAATGCAAATTACTGTAGACTGGTCAGCCCTGTGGAGTTCTTAGTAAGGTCGATGGCTGGAAAGCAGCTTTCTCCAGCACTGGAAGATGCTCTGGGACAATCTTTCCCTGGACATAGTTGTCAAACCAGCCCTGTTGACCAAAATCTGTCCAAAGAACTGATGCTGCCTGGGGAGATCCCCTTCCAAGTGATCCTGCAGCCAAGAGACACAGTCACCAAAGGGCCACTGTAAATCTGGAACAAACCCTGCTTGGCCACAAGCAGCTGCACAGCAGAGCTGCTCTCCCCAGCCCTTATCAGAGCCAGCAGATCAGCACCAACATCACCTTCAAACCTGAGCCCTCTCTGGGGAAGCAGCCGATGGGGGATTTAAGGTGTAGGAGGCAGGATGAGGAGAGATTAACTCAGACTTTGCTGCCCAAAGCCAGAGAGGCTGCACTGCACAATCATGCTGTCGAGATGACATTTGCCTGTCCTATGTTACAGGAGACCCTGTTTAGCTGCCAGTTGCTCCTTTTTCCTTACAAAGAGGGATTTTACAAGCATTAAGTACTAACCAGTCAGGGGTGAACCAGTGATCTACCTACGCTGCTGCAGGTATCAGCACAGATAATCTGGACCTTACCCTGACTTCAGGACCAGCCCTAAAAAAATAGGGCAGCAGCAATGAAAATTATCCATCACGGTCAGAGACAAGGGAGCACCTGCTGGCTCTGCACTGGGGGCAGTGCCAGCACTTTGGGAAGGGAGTCCCACACGCAGGGACAGTGCCAGCACTGCAGTAACCCACAGGATGTGCGCGCAGCCCCGCAGCTCGGGCCAAGGCTGCCTGCTGGTCGCCACAGAGGTGCTGGTGCCCCTCACCTTTCCGAGCTGGCCATTTGAACAGCTCTCCGCAGGCGGCTGGCGGGCACAGCAAGGCCGTTTCCATGCGGATGGGCTGCTTCTCCCCGTTGCTGTGGCGACGGCACTGGGCGCCAGCAGGTCGGAGGCGGGAGGGCGAGGATCGTATCTCCGCGGAGCTCACCAAGGGCACTGGGTACATCTAATCCGGCACTGCTCCATTTTAGGTCTCCCAGGAGCACCGAGGAGCTATCAAATGACCAGCTCAGCGGCAGCGAGCAGGCACTCACAGGGATGCAGCGCTGCCCACCGCTCTTAACAACACCCTAAAATCACATCCAACAGCAGCCAGATGGCCCTGGCAGGGCTTCCCTGCCACCTGCCTGGTTCTCACCCTTCCAAGCCCCTTAAGCAAGTGGTCCCACACATCCCAGCTCCAGCAGCCCCAGGGTTCCAGCCCAGGGCTGATGTCAGCGCTGCCAGGGCACCCTCACCTGCCCTATCCAAGGTGACCAGAAGCTGCTGCCCAGTCGGGCACTGGGACAGTTCCCAAGGGGAACTGCCAAAACATGGATTCCTCCATAGCTTTCTCCTTTCAACCAGGCTTAGTCCAAGGCTGCTTTTACTGTCTGGGGTTAGGGTTGCAAAAACCACAAAGCCCAGAGCTCCAAGCTCACTGCAGCCTTGGGCTAAGGTTGGGTCAAAGGAGAAAGCTGTGGAGGAAGCCATGTTTTGGCAGTTCTGTGTTCCCCTTGGCACGCCTTTTGTAGCTGCAGTGTGCCTGGAGCTCTGGGCTTTGTGGTTTTTGGAACCCCAACCCTAGGCTGAACCCTTACCCTGGGTGAGGGAGTAAAAGGTGCATCGGGGTGAGGCTGGTGCCAAACAGAAAGGTGGGGAGCAAGGAAAACAATTAAAAATAATAACCCATTTCACCATTCCCTCCTCCACAGGATTATTTTACCATAAAAGCTTTTATAACCATCTAATAAAACAAGGAAGCACAAGATTCAGGCACACCAAGGACACAGACTCTGAAACTTGCATAGCAAGGATGAAGTAAACCCACAAAATCCTGTTCCATTGTCCATAGGACATCCATTTGCTCTGCAGCATGTACCTATCTGATAAAGGCTCCCAGTAGGACAACAGCTGTGAGAGGGTCACATGTCTCATTGCTGTGCCTTTACCATCTCTCTGCCCACTGCCCTAAGAGATCCTTGCAGGAAAAGCTGGTAGAAAAGCAGCAAGACAAATTATAAAGAAGAAAAACAAAGGGATTTATTAAAACATCAGAAATCTGATTCTTCTAGCTGGGTCAAAATGACCAAGGGAAGAGCTTAATAGATGCAGCACCTGAGGAAAAGGAAGGTCTTTTCAGTATACACAGGCAGCTAAATCAGGGCCAGCCATGAGCACTGGAAGATTAATTGATAGGAGTCTTTAGTAGGGACACATCTTAAACCCATACATACCTTTGACTGTAATGGGATTTCTGTGCCTTGCAGTCTAATGCCTTTTATACAAGAAATAATGCAGCTGTCCTGCTATCGCTACTTTTATTTTCTTAAAGCAAAGGCAGCACAAAAAATAACAAAAGATGGGATTTCGCTGCCAGTCAAACACGGTTTCCAGCTCAAGCATCTCCTCCTCACTTAGTGCCTATCTGAAAAGCCATGGGCTCAAGAGCTTTCTGATGTGCTCAAGGTCTTCACAGGAAAGCATCTGAGAAATGGAGGAAAGGTTCAAAGGAAAATCACTTTCATGCTCAAGATGCAGATGGTTAGAGGAACTAACACAAACAGGGATGCTGCAGAGTTCTCAGCCAGACTGTTCTGCAGAGGCAGGGAGCAGCACATCGAAAATCTGAGTGCCTCAGCACAACCTAAAAGCAGTGGACAGGCTGCTCTGCCAAGCAAGGTGTGTTCAGCTTTGTGCTGGTTTTGGCTGGGGCAGCTACAGAGAATGGGGCCCTGCTTTCCTGGAGATAGCTAAACACCTGCCAGACCATGTGAAGTGGGAATTAATTCCTTGTTTTGCTTTGCTTGCATGTGGCTTTTGCTTTACCCATTAATCAGTGTTTATCTCAACCCACCAGTCTTCTCACTTTTACTCTCCCGATTCCCTCCCCAATCCCACTGGTGAGGGAGTGAACTGCCAGCTGGGGTTAAACCACCCCCACAGCTGGGGTTTCATCCCTTGATCGTGCAGAAAATGACCAAAAGATTGGATAAATGCTGAAAATGGAATAAAGGAAGAGTCCCTGAATACAAGCTGGGCTAGTACTAATATGCAAAGGGAAAAATGTAACCAAGAATTCCTCTCCCAGCATTAGTTCATGTAGACAAGAATTTGAGAAATCTGCAGGAACTACAGAAATGCCTCAGGTGGGAACAGTCCTAAGGACACTTGTACTCCAAGTGCCAGGAAGACACAGCAAGCTCCCATGGCATATGTCTGCACAGTCCAAGGCATACCCCCGACATCTCTTCTTAGCAAAGGAATTCCCATCTCTACCATTCAGATTTTTAGAAGACAAAGACAATAAATCAGACTTTTAAAGCAAATTCTGTTTATTATGTTTTTGTCTTGTGTTGCTAACAAATGTTTACCCTAACCTAGGAAAAATATCAGGTAGAAAATATCTCCCCTTTTCTCCCACCCTCCCCACCACACACAGTTTTTGTTTCTTAAATAAAAGCATCAAAATTTCAAGCATGAGAGACTTTTCTTTCCATACATTTCTGTAACAAAATTAACTCTGTTGTTGATATAAAATGCAGCAGCCAAGACCAGAGGATCTGCTATGCTACTCCAAGGCAATTAGTACCCAGTATGATCAGTTTGTCTGCAAACATAATAAGAAAATATTTAGCACTTATCCAGCACTTTTTATCCATGAATCTCAAAGTGTTTTACAAAAGCTGAAAATATGTTTTTGGCCTCATTTACAGAGAAGAAAACACCAGCTGGAGAAGGAAGAGATTTGCCCCCAGCCTCAGAATTTAATAGCAGAGCTAAGAACAGATCTCTTTCTCAGCCCCAAGTCCAGCAATCCATGCCACACTCTCTGCTTCACACAGAGAAGCCTGAATTTGGCAAAAGCCCCTACTACAGAAATGCTGAAGTTTATATTTTTGCCACTGAAAAAAGAGTCTCAATGGAGATCTGACAGCTAATTTAGTAAGCACTGACTTCCTGAGGCTGTGACACCAAGGAGTAAACAGAGTCTCAGATGGAGCAGCTGGAAGCTTGGGGGGGGAAAAAAAAGTCTCATACTGAAGTGTGAACAGCTGTGAGAGTGGTGCAGAGGGAGGTAAATCCATGATCTACAGTGTGCAAACGATTCTCCACTTGGAGCTTTAATTGAATGTTTGAGGAACAGATCACAGGATAAAACCCTAAAACCTTGACAAATAGTGTTATTAGATGAGAGGAACCTGCAGCTAAAGCACTGACATCTCCTCTGTTAGCAGTCTCCTGACCCGCCGGCACTCCTGACAGACCTGAGACACCAACAGTGCAAACACCAGGAAAAGAGCAGTAAAATGCAATGTCTTGCCTAGAAATAATGTTTAGCAAGGCCAGGAGAGAAGTACAGTGAGGCAGAGAGCAAAGGCTGATTCAAGGACCCCAGGACACCCTTAACTTTGAGGTCCACCACTCATACCATGAGCAGGCACCCCCACCCACGCAGCTCTTCTCCAGTGCATCACCAGCAAAATGAATGCATGACTCCAACACTCCTCTTCACACGCATGTGGCCACAGCACATCACCCACAGCTCATTTTGGTCCAGTTGAGACACCCACAGGGTCCTTTAACGGAGAGGGTCTCCTGTGTATTAGCACCAATTTTCTATTGCCCCCACTGTACCTCCTAAAGGAATGGGACAAGAACAGGCTCCAGCTTCTGATGGAGCACATCGTGATGCTGGGATGGTTGTGCTGCCTGGCAGCAGTCATAAACCAGCCCTCGTATAAAAACTCCCAAATGCTGGCCTACAACCAAAACCTCCATTTTTGAGAGAGAAGGGCAGGCCAGAATTCTCACCAGCCCACAGTGGCAGGTAATTACACCCAGGAGCTTAATTTATCAGCAGCATGGTCCAGCCAACACTGCCACACTGGCCAGCTGTGCTCTGAAGCCTGGAAACAGCATCTGGGTTCTCACAGAGAACAGTGTATCAAACAGACAGAGGTAAGCAACCTAAGTCAACAAGCTCATCTCTAGACTGCCCACCCACAGCAGTGAACATGAATTCAGCTCTCCACCCTTCTTCCTGGGCAAATCCTACTCATTTTCTACGCTGGTACTCCAACACACACAGGAGGGTGCCAGCAGCTGGGTGTCCCTCTTTTGAGCAGCAGAACCTGCAGATGGCCATGAGGATTAACTCCCATGCTGCAGAAGAGTCCTTCTGACACAACCAAGGAGCTGCTCTTGCTCCCCACACCCTTCCCAGACACCCATCTTCCTCCTGCACCCACCTCCTCGTGCGTTACAGACACAACCAGCTGCCTGGCCTGCTGGTGTAGCACCACCTCTCACTTAGGAGCTTTTACTAAGGCACAAAGATTAAGTGACTTGCATAAGGATCAGGAACACACCTCATGTCCCTCAACTGTAGTGATTTCTCACACCTTTTTTTTTTCCTGACCTCTTGCATATTAAAACATGAGTTGATTGTGTGGATGAGAGCAGGGTCTCATTTTCCTACCAATTCTGAAGAAACAAACAGGGGTAGCTGTATCCAAGCCCTCCCCATGGCTCCCATCCCTTCCCTCTGTGACAGGTCATTTGTCCAACACAGTAGGACAGCACCAGTGCAGAAGGGAGTGCTCCACAAGTGTGATGCAAAGCTCCATCTCTGCCATCCTAAGACCCACAGCAGGACAGAAAACAGCCATGCCTCTGAGAAATCAGGAAATTAACCTCAGCTATGCTTTGTTCATCAACAGGAGCAGGGAAGGACAGAAGGGGGATCTCTGCAGTACAAACAGGGTCAGAAGAAGCCTCCGACCCCCCCCCATAACTGGGGTGGATCAGCTTTCCACAGCTGAGCCTGAGGGCCCTGTGAGATGCTGCTGGTAGGAGCTCCCAGGTGAGGCTTCTTTCCACGAGCAATGGTTTGGTTTCCCAGAGGGTTGAGTGCCTGGCTTTGGTGCACCCGTGGCAGAGACCCAGCACCAAGGAGAGCAGCCCCGAGTGCCTCTAGGTGCAGCTGTGCCTCATGTGGAAGTTGACCACGTACTCGGCGTTGGTGCGCTGCACCGAGATGGCGAAGGGCTCGAAGGGGTGGAAGGTGAAGGCCACCAGGCGCCGCACCGTGTGATTGATGGGGCGCCCCAGGAGGCCCGCCTGGATCTCAAACTTCAGCAGGCCAGAGTCACGAGCGTAAAATCTGAAAGGAAGAGAAAGTCAATTACGGCTGTTCCCGACTATTGACTTTGCCATCTGGGCTCTTTGCACGCAGAGACAAGCGCCTTGTTCGAGCTCTGGTGCTCCCTGAGGAGCAGAAGGTCCTTAGCTGGGTGCCTGGCTCTTGGCTTCGCAGGGAAGTCCCTCTCAGGGCAGTTGTTTTCCACTGTCTAGAAAAACATCACTTTTATTTTATTATTAGCAATGAGAGAACTCTACCTGTCACTTTGAGGGACAAAGCTGACTTCACAAGAGGGAGTCAGTTTGGTTCAGGTGCCACCTGTGCTGGCTCTCCATCCTCTCTTAATGCAAGCTGCTCCCCTTGATCCCTAAGGCTGTACAGAACTGAGCTCCCTTCCCTTAGCAATGGGGACACTCCCTGACACTGAGAGTGTCAGGCCACCCTTTCCTCCTCGTGGTACTGCCAGTGAAGGCTTTACACTGCTGTCCTTGTGCCTGTTCAGTCAAGGAAGTCGCTGCAATCCTGCTCAAGGGTGCCACGTTGTAGTGTACAGCTGAAGCAAGGCTTTGCAATTCATTTTAGATTGCCACCAATAAAACATTAATGAGATAGGCTGTGCAGGAGGTACCTGATGAATTGAATTCAACAACCACAGCAAGGACAGAGGTCAAGAAAAACCTTATGACTTCCTGCTGTCACCCACACACCTGCCTGTGGGTCAAGCTCATATGCATCTCCAAACAGATGAGCTCTGGAACACAGCTCCAGCACAGAGGGAACATTTTCAGGGGGATGACACAAACAGCACTGAAGAGACAGGCGAGTCCAGGGAAGCTCTTTGCTTCCTGAACCTCCCCTGCACACTCGGTGCAACTGACATAAATCCAGGTAACACCACTGTCCTCTGCTGCTGTCAGAACACAGGACTCTCTGTGAGGATCCCACCCTCCCTGAGACTTTGGAGAAGGCTTCTGGGATGTAGTGGTGGAGACTTCTGGATGTGATACCTTCACCAAGTAACTGGGCTCTAACTCAAGTCGTCCCCCTGAAGTTGTCTCTGTTTGTTAGACCATTTTCATTAGACCTCTTCCATCTTCAGGCACAGAATTGCCATTATGCCTCCCAGCTGTTTTCTTTTCCACCAACACTTAGTGCATGCGGGTATTTTGCATTTTCCTCTGATTTTAACTCCAAGAATGCTTTTAACGTCTGAGCACATCTCCCCCCCGCCAGCAATACGATGCACTCAGCTCTCAGCCTGGAAGAACGGATGATGACAGATACCAGCAATGCTGTTTCAGGAGCAGACATACTCCACATTTTAACAACACAGCCTATTGAGAACCTCATGTTCTTCCTGGAGGGCCACTCTCCTCTCCCTTCCTCTGAATCAAAGTGCCAGCCAGCCAGCCCTGCCTGAAAATTGCACACAAGAACCCAGCAAGAGAGTCACAATCTTGGTATTTGGCTTTTCAAAAAGCCCTTTCCCTCCTACACAAGGCTGAGTATGCAGAGGGTCATTCTTTAAATAAAGCACAGTCCCCCATCTGTTCCTCTCTCCCCCAATTCACAACAATTTACTACTCAAGATGAAGCTCCCTGTAATCTCAAAGATGTGCTCAGTTTGGTATTTTTAAATGTATTTTTAAAAGTGCTCTGCAATCAGAGGCCATTTCCATGGGCTCTCATTCTGGGGATAAATTAGGCACTGCAATATAAAATTGTATATCAACAGAAACAGCAAGACCAGCCTTTTCAAACCGTAGGGAAATGGAAGATTTATCTGCAGACCAATTCTTTGGTTAAATGGCTCCTTATTAGCCATCTAGATGGATTTTAGAGACCCCCTGCTATAGGTAGAGCTGTGTTAGAGCCTCTTCCCTCAAGTGCCATCATTTCACCCACTGAATATCTCTTCAGGCCTCCTGAAAAGAGACTGGAAGGCGGTGGTGATGGGGAACCTAAAGTCCTTCCCACCTAACAGCAAACAACCACTGGTATCTTAAGTAGGCAGAATTGAACCTTCTGGGATGCAGAAAAGCACTAAGGGTTAAAACAACGCAGTGCACAGAAATATTGAATTGATGTGGAAAAGGTCTGGAAGCCTTCCTAGCTCACACATTGTGCCAGGAAACTGCACACAGACTATAACAACCTAAGCTACTGAAGGGTTTTCCATTCCAGACAATTACAGGACTTACATTACAAATCCTATGGTTCCTCATTTCCAAGCCCTCTAACCCCAACAGGCAGCTGGCATTATTTTATTAATCCCTTTGTTTTGCATGTGAGAACCACAGCAGCACTATTTCAGCTACTGAATGGTTAAGGTTAGCGCCTCATCTTCTGCTTACTTTCCAAAAACCAGGAGCCCCACTGCTCCGAGGCTCTATTCAAGTCCTAATTGACTGTGCACAGCTTTGAGCTTTAAAAGCTCTGGCTCTGAAACGCTGGTTTGCTCAGGGGAGGGAGGGAAGGTGGCACTTGGCTTTGTTTACTACAAAGGCTCCACCGCGGCACATGACTGCGGTTCTGCTGCCTTTTGTCCGCGGGAGCCCGGCACAGGTTGGCGCTGGCAGACAACTGCCACCCTGCAAGTTTTCCCAACGTCAAGCATGACAAGGGGGAAAAGGGCAGGCTTTCTTTGCAGATAACATGGAAGCTGGAGATCAAACCAAATCATACAGGCAGAAGAATCAATTAAATATACATAATTTGGGAATTGAGAGCACAGGAATAATCAGAAGTTCTTTGCCACCTGAGTCAGGGCCAGGGGAGATATGAAACCACTTTTTGAGAATGCATTGATGAAAATAAAGTTGGGAAGCGATCCAGAATGATGTCCCTAGGCTGCCTGAGCCCCCGTCATGTGTGCAGTCACTAAACAAAGCACTCAGGCACTGAAGGCTCTCTTTGTTTCCAGAGTATAGGTTTGCTTCTGCAGTACTAGGAGCAGAAAGACTATTCTGCCTGGATAACTCAGGCTCTTTGAGCCTGACAAGCTGCAGATGTTGATTTTTAACCACTACCTCTTGCAGCCATGGTTGCAGCCAACAAAAAGAAATAAACAATCCTGATATTTCTTTAAGAAGCATCGCAAGCCTCCTTATTCTCAAGCTCAGACTTACTCCCTCTGGCAGCATTGGAGACTCAGATGGAAGAGACACAGAATGGCCCTGACACCTGGCTAAAATTCCTACTACAAACAGACATTTCCTGCAGATCTCAGAGAGAAGGGAGTATGACAAGGAGTACAGCTCCCAGGGTGAGAACAGTAAACAAGGGAAGCCTGAAAACAGCTCAGTCAATACCACAAGCTTTCTGAGTAACACCTAGCCCAGATACTATTTTATTCACAGGACAAACCAGACAATCCTTGCCAACTAAACCCACATGCTCAGACAGGATCCTTCCAGCACAGGAAGGCAGACATCAGAGCTGACTCTGCAACCCAAACACAACGGCAGCACTGCAAGAAGAGGAGGAGGAACAAGACCATTCATATGGAAAAGGCTGAGACTTCACCACCCAAACCTTCCCCAGAGCAGAGCAGCTCAGTGAGGAAACATGAAGAGCCCTCCCACACATCCACATTACTGTAAAGGAGAGAGGCCAAGTTTTGTGAAATAAAGCCCCTGGCGAAAGGATTTCCTAAGACAAAGGCTTCCATCTACTCCCTCTTCTGCACACTCGATCCCCCGTGGCAGAGGTGATTTACAGTGACTCCTTGCACCCTCTCCTCACATACAGCTAGCTCCCCGTACCTTATGGGGTGATCACCACAGGTCTTGGGCCGCTCCATGACTGACACCCACTTGTCATCGTAGCTGAAAAGGGACAGGTCGAGGTAGGGGCTGCCGCTGTAGGACTGGGCGCTGATGGGGAGCTGCCCCAGCAGCCGCCGCACGGCCTCCGTGTGCCCTCCGTACTTGGCGTTCACAATCGTGTCTTTGAACCTGCAGCAAACCAAGAGACACCTTTTGTTCACAAAGGCCACAGCTGAACAGCACATCTTAAATAAACTAAGCAGGTCAACTGACAGGGAAAGAAAACAGCTGCAGTGTAAGAACTAAAACAGCTCATTTCCAAAGATGTATCACAGTGATTCAAACATCAACCAGTTCTGCTAACCTTTCCATCCTCCCTTATCATCACTGTCTCACTCAGAATGTCCAGAGTGACAGAAGAAGAAGAATGTGCCACAACATCTAGACCCAGCTGCTCTGCAGTACAGGAATGAACAGGATCAGAAACAGGGAGAGATGGATTAGCAGTTTATCAGTCAATCCAAGCTTTACCACAAAGCCTGGAAACAGCATGAGCAAAAGCCAGGGGGCTTCCACAGTAACAGTTGAGCCCTTAACATTGACTTGACAATCCTCCTCTCTCCACCCATTGTTTTAAATGCATAAAGGGAGAAACCTTAGATGAAGAAGAACCTTGATGAGGAGCATAAAGCTCTCCAGAAACTACAGTGAGCTGAAAGTTCTTCCTGGTGGAGAGATTAACACAAGCTGGATTTCTCCTTCCAAGTAAAATTTGAAACTTACTTGTGCAAGAACAGTCAGATCAACTGCAGGGACAATAAGGAGGATAAACACTCATCCAGAAGCCAGCTCACTGTGGACTATGCTCTGTGGTACTTTGCTGTGGAAGTTACAACACTCCTGTTACAGGCCCTTGTAGCAAGGGGATGGAAAGACTCTCCTTTTTACTTTAACAAAAGGCAGAAGTTGTTCTTCATGAGTCTTCAATAAGTTCTCTCATTCTCTCTCCTATTAAGCATTACGGATTTCCTGACAGGTTGGTCTAGAAAGTTACAGACATAGTCAATTTCATCAGACTTATGTGACATCAGCCTAAAGTCAACAGAAGCTTGATGCCCATAAGTGGATGGCAAGTACTTTGGAAGATGAGAAACAAGTCACTGGAAGAACAAAACAACCTGAGTCACAACAAAATTTTCCTAGAGAAATAACACACTCTGCCTCATTAAAACCACATCTGACTATTAAAGCATATTCTAGAAACCCATGTTATTTCGGTATTTTGTTCAGCTTTCACAACAGATCTAAGCAGATGAGTTTCCCTTCTCCAAGTACAGTGATGAGAACCACGAGCTGGTGACTGATGTTGAGGAAATGCTACAGAACACAGTTTGGTGCACGCTAAATTCAGAGAATGTCACTTGGCAAAACGCACACAACTGGATGATGCCAGCTTCTTGACAAATCATATCTTCAGGAACCAAAGCTACTGGGCAGTAACACTTTAATAATCTCCAAAACAGTTACTGCTCAAGGAGAGACAGAAACATCTTTCTCTCAAAATTCCTTTCCTTTCTTCTAAGCAGCAGTTTGCAACTGCTTTGTTTCTTCCTCTAACAAGGTAAGTGCTGTGGAATACAAAATCAGATGCAACAGGCTGCAAGATGAACCATGTATAGTCCTGACCCTTGCACCACCTGGCAAAGGGGGCCAAAGGAACTGGTTTTCTCAGGGTTAGTATTTGATACTGGCCTTCAGCGGACGGGGCTGAGCGTGTGTCTATACGGAATAAAGCATGCTCCGAATGGCTCACCGGCGCTGGATCTGCCTCGCAAAGTTGTTGCTGGAAGCTGAGCAGGGGAACTGGACAGCTTCACTGTGCAGAGTGGCATTCCTGAAGAGGTCACAGAAGTTCTCAAACAGCTCCAGCAGCTCATCAGATGTGTTCTCAAACACAGCAATGACCTCCGTGGTCACCATGTTGTACACGACGAAGAACGAGGGCTGGGGAGAGAGGCAGAGGTTACCCAGAGATGGGGAAGCTGTCCCTTCCTTCTCCCCACATCACATCACAGACCCTAACCAAATTTATCCACAGTACAGGAGAGTCCTACATCCTCACACTAATCCATTCTTCTATTGGAATGCCTCAACATGTACCAAATTATCCACCTCTCAGCTGCAATTATTTAAGAAAACTTAATGGGCTTCCAATTTTTCAACTCAAACTAGATGCATCCATATTATTTTCCTCTTCTTCTCTGTCCTCCACCAAACCCAAAACACTTACTCAAGTGCCAAATTTAATTTTCATTCCCGCTGAAAAAATTACTTCAGATCCAATGCTAGCTGGCCTTAAATTATTTTTACTTCTGCATAGATATATTATTTTCTTCCCCTTCTTAATATCTGTATCACACAGAGATGAGCCTTTTTATCTACTGTGCACTACATCACTGCCCACAAAAAGCTGTGCCCTCCAGGTACCCTGCAAACACAGAAATTAAAATCTGAAAGACACTGATGACTTCTTAACGCTGACATTCTCATGCAAGATGGCCCTTGTACCATGCTGTGGACTAGCAATGGCAATGAATCCTGGCACGAATGAGCAAGAAATTGGGAAAAAAGGTGACATTGTGTCAGCGCAGCTACATCAAAGGGAGATGACATTCCCATCCCATTGGGAAAGGGCAGATTTAATTATTGGTTATTAAAAGTAGCTTTCATTAGAGACAGGAGTGATGGCACCCCAAAGTAAGAACCTCTCCCCTTCTTAAAAGGGAAATAATTCCCATGACATCTGATTAAATCTTCTGTCAATAGAGGCAATTCCTAAATGCTTCACCTCCTGCTCCCAAACAATGCTCAGGGATGATGGCAGGCACTCTGCCCACCCCACCCACCTGCAAATATCACAAGGTTTGTTTGTTTTACAGCCCCAAAATAAACTATGATAATACAATCCAGCCCCCACATGTCCAAACGAAACACACAAGATGAGGTCACTGACTAGACTACTGCCTGAGGAAAGGGAAGCCCTTCTGAAATAAAGGGTTGGAGCAGAGAGAAAATAAGAGAAGACAGCAGAAGGAAAAACTATTCAAATCACTGAAGACTGCAGGCAGTATCCTCCAGTTTTAAATAAAAAAGTTCCCTTGCCAGGTTTACACAGAGACACATCTACAGGATGTCCCTGAGCAGGGAATCCCTCACTGCTTTTGCTGCACCTGTAACACCACCAAAAGATCATCACAGCATGGGAGGCAGCAGCTGAGTGCCACAAAAACCACACAGCAATGCTGTCAAGCCTATCAACACAAGCCTACAGCAGCAACAACCCCCCAAGCTACCTATGCAGAGCACTGTTAAAGAGCTCAAAGGATACAGTGCAGACCCAGACAAAAACCACACAACCCACAACCATGAACAGCAACTCCTCAACCTTCTTGGCAGAGAAGCCAGAGAGGAGAAAGGATCCTGAAACTGGATGAAACCTCATGTTCCTTGTCTGACAGCCTGAAGGAAAATGGGAGCTGTAGTTATTTTGTGAGCCAAGTTTTATTCAGGAAGCCCTAACACAATGCCTACCTTCACACAGGTCTGTGGAGACTGCTCCACACCTGGAATTATCTCTGGAAGAACTGAGAAATGAGACACTTTTCCCCCAGCACAAAACTCAGTGCCTGAGGCACATTGCAAACAAACCACAAACTGCATCTTAAAGTAACCCTGGGCTGAAGAGAGTTGAGAGCTCCCTGCAGCAAACCAGGCACTAAACCCTACTAACCACAGCAGAGTGCGGAGCTGAGCCAGCCACAAACATTTACATCAGGGCCAGGAGCTCATTCCAGACACCAGCAACGAGCAGAACCCTGCAGACCACTTCCACAGAGCCTTCGTATTTCTGAGACAGACATTCAGCTTTACACCAATCAACATGGATTAGATAAAGCCTTACCTATTTCCTCCCAAAGCAACTCCCCCAGACAAACACCAGAGAAGAGGAAAATAAAATAAAGCAAAACAGAGTCATCTCCCAGGAAGAACCAGACAAAGGCAACACAAGAAGAGCTACTGTTTATTTCTTCTAGGACCTAAGTCCTGGCAAAGATGTGGGGAAGAGAAGTGCATGAGAGAAAATAAACCTCTGAGGAACAATCAGACCTACAGGCTGCACTGGAGATTTATCACAAATTCTTGCTAAATACTTTCAACAGAATAAAACCAAGCTGATTAAAGGAATAAAAATTAACTAAAAAAATCTCTTAGTTTCACAGGGCTCAAAACGTGACCAACCACTCTAAAAGCAGTAAAAGGAGATGATCAACATGCAGGGTTGTGAAAGATCTGGAGGGACCCAGCACTGACTGAGCTACATTTGCTCTAATTCCACTTCTTCAGTAATAAATTGAAAAGAGAAGCAATTGGCCCATTAGCCTGATCTAAAAGCTGCTACTCCAATTTGGAGAGATCATAAATACTACCTCTTACTGAAGCCTGAAAGACTGAGTATGTAGGCAGAACAGAAATGGTAATTGTACCAGGGAAAATGAAGACTACTATATTTGAAAAACATGCTTGAAGACACATGAGAAAAGGGAGAGACTACCTCTACAATTTAAATGGACTATATAAAATATCAGCTAAAATTAAATTCATTTGGGGATTTGGGGAGGGAAAGAAGATTGAGGAGGATCTGTGAGCATGGGGAACAATCCTTGGAGAAAGGAACTTGCTAACACATCAGATCTTTCTCATTTTGCAGATGAGAAGGAAATAAGAAATGAAATTAAGAAAAGAGAAGATACAGGAGGTATTCACTATCAGAAGCATCAAAAAAACCACAGGTACTAGGGATCCTAAATAACCATTACAGGCTCATTAAGGAGCAGCTCACAGCATTGTAATGCTTGAGCACTTGTCAGCAATAAGCAGCCTGAAGAGGGAGGCAGCATCTGAGCCACCTGGTCCAGTAGACCCCTAGCAGGGCAGCTGGAATTAGATGATGTTTAAGGCCCCTTCCAGCCCAAACCATTCTGTGATTCTATACCTGGGAAGGATCTGTCACCCGCAGCGTGACCACGTCCTCACTTGTGTACTTGATAAACAGATGGTTCTCATCCAAGAGCTGCATCTTCCACATGCGGAGCTGCCTCAGCTGGTCAAAGTACTGGAAGAACCTCCTTTTTGCTATAGCACTTCCATCCTGCTCAGCCCTCCTCCACAGGTACACCAGCAGCCTGTGCTTCAGGGAGTTGATGAAGGGCTCCTTGTAAGGGTTGGCCATTCCCGTCTGCGTGTCCCGCTGCACCTCGGGGTACACGGCAGACAGGGTCAGCAGATCATCCTCGTAGCAGAAGCGGCCGATGGTCCTCACGTCGATGAACGTCCCCTCGGGAGTCACCTGGAAGACGTGAATGGTCTGCTGCTGCACAGAGAGGATGGCCAGGATGTTCTTGTACAGGTACAGCCCCTGGTTGTGAGACAGGATGACTTTGTCGCACTTGAAGGCGCGCGTGTCGCACAGCCTGCCCGTGTGCAGGTCGATGATGTGCAGGGAGTAGTCCTCCAGCGGGGAGCGGGGGTTGGGGGTCACGGACTCGCTGTTGCGGTACACCTCGAAGAAGGGCGGGTGCGGCTCCTCGGGCAGGTAGGCGGCCGAGCCCACGATCACGTAGCGGCAGTCGTCCGTGAACAGGCTGCACTCCCGGTTCAGGTGCTCCCCGTTGGAGGCCACGTTGGTGATGTGCAGCAGCACGAAGAAGCGCTCGAAGAGCCGCCCGCGGATGTTGACGGACCTCTGGTCGTTGCCGTTGGCCAGGATCTCCCCCTCGTAGCCCTGCAGGAGGTCCTCGGCCGCCTGGCAGCCCTGGTACTCGTAGATCTCCAGCGAGGTCTGGTCGGAGGAGAAGGCGATGAAGTAGCGGCCGTCGGGGGAGAACTTGCGCAGGAAGCAGGGCGGCTTCTCCACGTTGACCACGGTGAAGTTGGGGAAGACGTTCTGGTGGAAGACGCGCACTTGGTGCCAGTGGGTGCCCGCCTTGCCCGAGCTGATGCGGCGGCGCTCCAGGCGGTGGATGACGTTCTGGTTCTGGATGCGCCGGGGCCTGATCGTGGGGGCCTCATGGTCCATGGTCAGAGCTCTACTTCATCCTCATCCTGCGGGGACAGCACACGTGCCCTGGGATGGGGGGGAGTTCAGGGTACGGGGAACCTGCTCACATGGACCCACAGCACCCAGCAGAAGGGGCTGTCTAAAAGGGACACGGGAGGACACGGGGAGCAGGGAGAAAGATCTCAGGGCGAGGCACCAGGAAAACGAGGGCAGTCCAGAGGTGCCTCCAGGGCACTCCTGCCTGCTGAACAGAGACACAGCGGGGAACAAGGAGGTGAAGGAGGGAGCCAGGAAAGGGCACAGGCACAGCTGGACACCAAGGGAATAAAGGGAGCCTCCATACACCGGGAAGGGAGCCCAGGAAGCCAGGGATAAATGCAGATATGACAAGCAGCAGGCATAGAGCACAGCTTGGAAATAACGGAGGGAGCTGGGCGAGGGGGCACAGGAGGGATCACCCGCGATGTGTCCGGGCCCACCTGCCGAGAGGGAAGCGAGGAGCTTCAGTCCCCTGGGCTGAGGAGGGACTGAGCTCCAGGGAAGCCCGGGGCAGCTGAGGGCCCGCCCTCCAAAGGTATCGGGGATCCCAGATACTCTCCCGCTGGCCCCTGGGGTAAAGGGACAGGGGGGACCGGGGGCCTCCGTGGTCTCCGCGCTGGTTTAGGACCGGGGAGAGGTCTCGGCCGCTCTCACCGCTGGGGCCGCGCCGGGTCCCGTTCATGCCATGGCCGCCGCCATCTTTCGGCCACGGCACAGCGGCGGCAGGGCGTCACCGCACTTCCGCTTCCGGCTTCCGCACCAGCGAGATGGGACCTGCCGGACCAGAGTGCCAACGACGGTGTGGCGCGCCTCCTGGCGGCGGGAAGGACCCCTGCACGGGGCACCCCCCGCGCCCATCCTGCACCCCAGCACCACCCTGACCCCTCTGCACCTCAGCACCCATCCTGCATCCATCCTGCACCCCAGCACCACCCTGAGCCCCCTGGACTCACCCTGCACACATCCTGCATCCATCCTGCACTCCAGCACCTACCCTGAGCCCCCTGGACCTACCCTGCACCCATCCTGCACCCCAAAACCCACCCTGCATCCATCCTGCACCCCAGCACCCACCCTGACCCCTCTGCACCCCAGAACCCATCCTGCATCCATCCTGCCCCCCCTGCACCCACCCTGCATCCATACTGAACCCCGGAACCCGTTCTGCCTCCCCTGTAACCAAAGATCCACCCTGACCCCCCTGCACCCATCCTGTATCCCCCTAGACCCGTCCTGCACCCCTCCTCCACCCCGGCCACGTCATCCCAGCACGCTCTGCAAACCCATCCAACCATCCCCAAGTCCCCTCCGTTAACCTTCACCCCCTCCCTGCCCCTGAACCCCCCGAACCCCTCCATGTCTGGAGCATCCCGGGCTCCTCCATCCCCAGGAAGGGTCTGGCACGGCCCCACCACTCCCTGCACCCCCTGTACCCCGAGTCCCAGCACGGGGACACCACACATTTTGGGGTACACCCCAACACCGACAGCAGAGATTGGGGTCACCCCCGGGCACCTCTTTTTGGCCTTTCCAAGGGTCTGAAAGCCTTCTGCTAGCCTTGGCTTTTAGCAGCGCCCCTCCGCCCCGTGCATTAGCGTGGAGGGCAGCTCTGAGGGGCTCTTCTCCTTCAAAGGGAGGGAAGGAGGAATGTCAGGGGGCCCTTGAGATCCATTTGCCGGCCTCTTGCCGAGGCTGAGCCCACGCACGGGCTCTTGGAGCCACTCCAGCGGCAGGCGTGGGAGCCGGGAGCGGGCCGCGGGGCAGGGCCCTCAGCGCCGGGAGCCCGGCGGTGGGACAGCTTAACCTGGGGTGTGGGGAGCCCGGGGGTTGGGCAGCTTAACCCGGGATGTGAGGAGCCCGGCGGTGGGACAGCTTAACCCAGGGTGTGAGGAACCCGGGGCTGTTCCCTGTGCTATGGGGTGTGACAGCTCAGCCCGGGGTGCTGGGGAGCCCGGGGGTGTTCCCTGGGCTGTGGGACAGCTTAACCCGGGGTGTGAGGAGCCTGGGGGTGAGACAGGTTAACCTGGGATGTGGGGAGCCCGGGGGTTGGGCAGCTTAACCCGGGATGTGAGGAGCCCGGCGGTGGGACAGCTTAACCCGGGGTGCGGGGAGCCCGGCGGTGGGACAGCTTAACCCAGGGTGTGAGGAGCCCGGGGGTGTTCCCTGTGCTGTGGGACAGCTTAACCCGGGGTGTGGGGAGCCCGGCAGTGGGACAGGTTAACCTGGGATGTGGGGAGCCCGGGGGTTGGGCAGCTTAACCCGGGATGTGAGGAGCCCGGCGGTGGGACAGCTTAACCCAGGGTGTGAGGAACCCGGGGCTGTTCCCTGTGCTATGGGGTGTGACAGCTCAGCCCGGGGTGCTGGGGAGCCCGGGGGTGTTCCCTCTGCTCCCACAGGGGTCTGGCAGCTCAACCCGCGGTGCTGAGGGGCCCAGGGGTGTTCCCTGTGCTGTGGGACAGCTCAGCCCGGGGTGCTGGGGAGCCCGGGGGTGTTCCCTCTGCTCCCACAGGGGTCTGGCAGCTCAACCCGCGGAGCTGAGGGGCCCAGGGGTGTTCCCTGTGCTGTGGGACAGCTCAGCCCGGGGTGCTGGGGAGCCCGGGGGTGTTCCCAGTGCTGTGGGACAGCTGGACCCCCAGGGGTGTGACAGCAGCACCCGGCCGGTGTCACCTGGATGGATGGGGGATGCTCTTTCTGCGGCAAAGCTCACACCGCTGAGTCCCCGTGTGTTTTATGGGGTGCTTTAGGGTCTCAGCAGCGGTGGGACACTGTCCCAGTGGGACACTGTCCCACTGTCCCAGGGGATAAGAGCCGTGTGGCTCCAGCTGCCTTCCTGTGGGGATGGGGGGTGTCAGCCTGCCTGACATCCCTGAGCAGCGGGGAAGGGATGCTGGGGGACCCTCGGGTGACCCCAGTGCACCCCACCTGCCTGCCCCGCTCCCATCCCGGGAGCAGCGGTTTGGTGCCCAGCAGCCTCACCCCGTCCCTGCCCGCTGTCCCCCTGCCTGCCGGTGGCAGAGGGCGCGATGACAAGACTAAAATGAACGGCCCCGGTGTCCCTCTTTGTCTCTCTGCCTCCTGCCTAATTAATTGAGATCCACCTTAATAGGATCAAGCTAAATACCGGAGAACATCCAACCGCACAGCAGCTGGCAGGAAAAGAAGAGGCACAGGCACCACCGAAAGGCAGCTCCTCGCCGGACAAAAGAGCCGCCAATGCAGCAGCAATCGCTGCTCCCAGAGCTGAGAACTTCATCCACAGCCTGCTCACAGCTCAGCCCCCTCCCCGCTGCTGGGGAGGGGTCCGAAGACCCTCGCTGGGGCGGTTCCAGCCAGTGGCAGGGATTGGAATCTTGTGCAATCAATCTCAGTGCAGGCACAAAGCTGGGTACAAAGTTACTGCTGGTTTATCTCGGCCTGGGGGTAGGCAGGAGATGTGGGGTCATAGTGCCAGATCCCCAGCCAGGGGGTTGCTGAGGGTTCAGGACTCCTGGGACATTTCTCACCTCCCACAGCATTTTGTGGGACTCTTTGGGGTCCAGCAACAGGGGTCACACGGCTGTCCCCATCCTCCTGTGCTGGGACACAGGTGGGGTGTCCCTCTGCACATCCCCAGCCAGAGGAATGGGGCAAGCCCCAGCCTAATGCCCAGAGCTCTGATATTGGGGCTGGTGTGGATGCTGCTGGGGGGTGGAGGGTCACTGAGTACTCACATTGCTGGGGGCTGGCTCAGGGGGCTGCAGGGCTCCTCCAGCCCTGCAGGGCCACTGTGGGTCCATGGCTTTGGATGTTACTGGGCTGCGTTTGGGGGAAGTCCCTTCAGCAGTGTGCCAAGGAAAGAGATGCTCCGTGCCTGTGTGGCATCACCAGCCCCACCAGCAGCCTGCCAGTGCCACATCCACCTCCAGCTGATTTCTCCAGAGTCAACAGATGGGTTAAAAATTAAATTAAAAAAAAAAAAAAAAAAAAAAAAAAAAAAAAAAAAAAAAAAAAAGGAAAAAGAAAGAAAGAAAGAAAGAAAGAAAGAAAGAAAGAAAGAAAGAAAGAAAGAAAGAAAGAAAGAAAGAAAGAAAGAAAGAAAGAAAGGGACCCTTCTGCTGTTGTTGCTTTGGCTGTTTCTCAAGAGTTTCTCATCCTTGGATCCTGTGGCTGCTTTCCCAGGCGTGGAGAGGGCGTGTGAGGAGAACAGAGCTGGGGAGGTCGCAGGGATGGGCTGCTCCCATCCTGGCTGCCCCCAGCCAGATACAAACCCCAGCATGAAATCCCTGTGGGAAAATGTGGACCTCACAGGGATGCTTGTGGAGGAAGAAAACCCTCCAGGTCCTGAGCCAACCCCCTCTCATGGCCACTGGGCTTGGTGGCTGTTGACTTCTTCATCGAGCTGAGGGCAGGGGAAAAGAAAATGACCCCTATTTTTTTATTTTTCTTAATATGTAAAATAAGATTATGAAGTTTGCACAGGATCCTGATGTGGGGAAGGAATGCTGCAGCCCTGAGGTGCTCCCCAAACCCCAGGGTATGCAGGGATAAGTGAGGCTGTTCTGTGGGAACTGGCTGCCTCCATGGAGTCCTTTATAGGGTGAAGCATCCTAAAGATCATTACTGAAACCAGCTGGGGGAAAACTCTTGTTGGTGTGAGAAAAGACCAAAGGAAACAGAGGGAGTCATTGGGTGTATCTCATCTCTCCAAAAACACAAGGGTGTAATTAAATATTTGATTCTTCCCCACACCTGAGGAGTGACTTTATTCACATTTGCAGAGTTTGGGGCTCCCATTGCAGGGGGATTCATGTTCACATTTGCACATTTTCATAAAGGGATGAACGGGTCCTGTCCAGCACAGCCAGGACTTGAGCCCCCCTCTCCCCACGCTGGGTAGGTCTCTCTGGGATGAGGCTCCATCAAAGCCAAGTTTGCAGGATGGAGCACTGGTGGACCTTCACAGCTCCAAAATCTTTCTTTGTCACCAAAATGTCCCTTGCTCTAGATTTAACTGGTGTCAGAGGCTCATTTTGGAGTGGAACTGGACAAATTTTAGAGGCTGTTAATGGAATCACCACCACTGGGATGTGGTCGACATCCAGTCTGGGGCCTGTGGGTTCAGGGCTGAGCCCCCTTTTCTTGCGCCACAACACCAGTTGTCTCTGCTTGAAGCCAAAATCTGCTTTAAACACCCTCCAAAATTTTCCTGGCTTTTGCAAAAGAGCCCCTTGTAGGGGCAGAGCACAGGCAGGACCAGAGGGGCCGGAGATGGGGCTCACTGGGGTGCCTGCTCCTCTCGGGGTGCCCACGGGATGGCTGGGGGTGGCTGCCACTGCAGGGATCAGGGATCAGGATCACAGGGGACATGGGGACAAGCCGTGACAGCACCTCCTGGGCAGAACACAGCATCATCCCTCCTGCAGTGTCCGGGCTGGGGAGACCCCCGAGGGCTCCACACCCCGTGGTGCGAGCTGGAGCTGCCTCTCTGCTTAACCCGTGCGGGTGACAGCCCTGTCCCCACCCATGCACCAGCCACGGGAGAACCATCCTGTCCCCGCCGTGCCACCGCGGGGTGACAACTCTGTCCCCTACAACACACCCATGGCAGGGTGACGGCTCTGCCCACCCCCGTGCCATCCGCGGGGCTGACAGCCCCGTGTCCCCCGTGCCACCCATGGCGTGACAGCCCCGTCCCCCCGCCGTGCCGCCCGTGGGGGGCAGCCCGGCAGCCTCCTCCCGGTGAT